TTTCTCTCCATCTCATCCTCATCTTCCTCTCCCTCTCTTCTTTGTCCTTTTTCCTTCTCTTCTTTTTTCTCTTCTTCCTCCCCTTCTCTTGATCGCCTCTATCTTTTTTTTTTCTTTTTATCAAGATTTGTGTCATTACCTCCTCCTCCCTTCCCTTCGCGTCACTTATTCTTTTCCCATGCTTCATCATCTCGCTCTCTGCACTTCTCTTTTCTATTTTTTCTTGCTCTCTCTTCCCCTCTCTTCCCTCCCTTCATTCCCTCCCACTCTTCATCCCCCTACCTTCCCAAATCCTCTCTACCCCCTCTTCCTCTGTGCCCTTGCTTTCTTCTCCCTTTCTCCGCCTCCCCAATACCTCTCTATCCCTTCCCCCTCTCCCCCCTCTCCCTCTCTCTCCTCTCCCTCTCTCTCCCTCTCTCTCCCTCCCTCTCCCTCCCTCTCCCTCTCTCTCCCTCCCTCTCCCTCTCTCTCCCTCCCTCTCCCCCCTCACCCCCCCTCCCTTTAAGTCCAAAATGGCGGATCTTCGAAGCAGTCTCTTTGTTATACTGTTATACGGCCTTCGTTGCACCTCCCTCGATGACGTCACACGCTAGGGAGGGAGGGGGGGAGGGGGTGTCATACGGCCTTCACTGCTTCCTTGCGCTTCGCTTGGTGACGTCATTCGCAACGGGGGGGGTAGGGGGGGAGGGGGAGGGACTGGAAGAGAACGAGGGAGAGGGGGGGGGGGGCTTCAAAAAAAAAAAATGGGACCTTGGACGCTAATGGACGTAAGTGAACCTCGTCTGGTGACCTTTAGTTGACCTGCGAATCATGTGACGTATTATTTTTTTTTAAATTTTAATATTTTCCATCTTTTAAAAAATATTTTTCTTACTTTTTTTTTTTTTTATAATTAAGCTTTATTTTCGCGAGTGCAGGTGAGGTTTAAGTGAAAGAGGGGAGGGGGGGGGAGGAGGAGAAGGGGTGAAGGAGGGCGGAGGAAACGAAGGGTGGAAGAAGGGAAGTGAGGTAATAAGATAATAAAGAGGGAAGCGCGAGGGATGTGATGAAATAAGGATGGGAAGAATTTTAGACTATATTAATTTTCTTTATCGTCTCTCTTACTTCTCTCAGTCTCCCTCTCTGTCTATCTATCTCTCAGTCTACCTATCTGTCTATCTATCTCTCAGTCTCCCTCTCTGTCTATCTATCTCTCAGTCTACCTATCTGTCTATCCATCTCTCAGTCTCCCTCTCTGTCTATCTATCTCTCAGTCTCCCTCTCTGTCTATCTATCTCTCAGTCTCCCTCTCTGTCTATCTATCTCTCAGTCTACCTATATGTCTATTTATCCCTCAGTCTACCTATCTGTCTATCTATCCCTTAGTCTCCCTCTCTGTCTATCTATCTCAGTCTACCTATCTGTCTATCTCTCTCTCAGTCTCCCTCTCTGTCTATCTATCTCAGTCTACCTATCTGTCTATCTATCTCTCAGTCTACCTATATGTCTATCTATCTCTCAGTCTACCTATATGTCTATCTATCTCTCAGTCTACCTATCTGTCTATCTATCTCTCAGTCTACCTATCTGTCTATCTATCTCTCAGTCTACCTATATGTCTATCTATCTCTCAGTCTACCTATATGTCTATCTATCTCTCAGTCTCCCTCTCTGTCTATCTATCTCTCAGTCTCCCTCTCTGTCTATCTATCTCTCAGTCTACCTATATGTCTATCTATCTCTCAGTCTCCCTCTCTGTCTATCTATCTCTCAGTCTCCCTCTCTGTCTATCTATCTCTCAGTCTCCCTCTCTGTCTATCTATCTCTCAGTCTACCTATCTGTCTATCTATCTCTCAGTCTCCCTCTCTGTCTATCTATCTCTCAGTCTCCCTCTCTGTCTATCTATCTCTCAGTCTCCCTCTCTGTCTATCTATCTCTCAGTCTCCCTCTCTGTCTATCTATCTCTCAGTCTCCCTCTCTGTCTATCTATCTCTCAGTCTCCCTCTCTGTCTATCTATCTCTCAGTCTCCCTCTCTGTCTATCTATCTCTCAGTCTCCCTCTCTGTCTATCTATCTCTCAGTCTCCCTCTCTGTCTATCTATCTCTCAGTCTCCCTCTCTGTCTATCTATCTCTCAGTCTCCCTCTCTGTCTATCTATCTCTCAGTCTCCCTCTCTGTCTATCTATCTCTCAGTCTCCCTCTCTGTCTATCTATCTCTCAGTCTCCCTCTCTGTCTATCTATCTCTCAGTCTCCCTCTCTGTCTATCTATCTCTCAGTCTCCCTCTCTGTCTATCTATCTCTCAGTCTCCCTCTCTGTCTATCTATCTCTCAGTCTCCCTCTCTGTCTATCTATCTCTCAGTCTCCCTCTCTGTCTATCTATCTCTCAGTCTCCCTCTCTGTCTATCTATCTCTCAGTCTCCCTCTCTGTCTATCTATCTCTCAGTCTCCCTCTCTGTCTATCTATCTCTCAGTCTCCCTCTCTGTCTATCTATCTCTCAGTCTACCTATATGTCTATCTATCTCTCAGTCTACCTATATGTCTATCTATCTCTCAGTCTACCTATATGTCTATCTATCTCTCAGTCTACCTATATGTCTATCTATCTCTCAGTCTACCTATATGTCTATCTATCTCTCAGTCTACCTATATGTCTATCTATCTCTCAGTCTACCTATCTGTCTATCTATCTCTCAGTCTACCTATATGTCTATCTATCTCTCAGTCTACCTATATGTCTATCTATCTCTCAGTCTACCTATATGTCTATCTATCTCTCAGTCTACCTATATGTCTATCTATCTCTCAGTCTACCTATATGTCTATCTATCTCTCAGTCTACCTATATGTCTATCTATCTCTCAGTCTACCTATATGTCTATCTATCTCTCAGTCTACCTATATGTCTATCTATCTCTCAGTCTACCTATATGTCTATCTATCTCTCAGTCTACCTATATGTCTATCTATCTCTCAGTCTACCTATATGTCTATCTATCTCTCAGTCTACCTATATGTCTATCTATCTCTCAGTCTACCTATATGTCTATCTATCTCTCAGTCTACCTATATGTCTATCTATCTCTCAGTCTACCTATATGTCTATCTATCTCTCAGTCTACCTATATGTCTATCTATCTCTCAGTCTACCTATATGTCTATCTATCTCTCAGTCTACCTATATGTCTATCTATCTCTCAGTCTACCTATATGTCTATCTATCTCTCAGTCTACCTATATGTCTATCTATCTCTCAGTCTACCTATATGTCTATCTATCTCTCAGTCTACCTATATGTCTATCTATCTCTCAGTCTACCTATATGTCTATCTATCTCTCAGTCTACCTATATGTCTATCTATCTCTCAGTCTACCTATATGTCTATCTATCTCTCAGTCTACCTATATGTCTATCTATCTCTCAGTCTACCTATATGTCTATCTATCTCTCAGTCTACCTATATGTCTATCTATCTCTCAGTCTACCTATCTGTCTATCTATCTCTCAGTCTCCCTCTCTGTCTATCTATCTCTCAGTCTCCCTCTCTGTCTATCTATCTCTCAGTCTACCTATCTGTCTATCTATCTCTCAGTCTCCCTCTCTGTCTATCTATCTCTCAGTCTACCTATATGTCTATCTATCTCTCAGTCTACCTATATGTCTATCTATCTCTCAGTCTACCTATATGTCTATCTATCTCTCAGTCTACCTATATGTCTATCTATCTCTCAGTCTCCCTCTCTGTCTATCTATCTCTCAGTCTACCTATCTGTCTATCTATCTCTCAGTCTACCTATATGTCTATCTATCTCTCAGTCTACCTATCTGTCTATCTATCTCTCAGTCTACCTATATGTCTATCTATCTCTCAGTCTCCCTCTCTGTCTATCTATCTCTCAGTCTACCTATATGTCTATCTATCTCTCAGTCTACCTATATGTCTATCTATCTCTCAGTCTCCCTCTCTGTCTATCTATCTCTCAGTCTCCCTCTCTGTCTATCTATCTCTCAGTCTACCTATATGTCTATCTATCTCTCAGTCTACCTATCTGTCTATCTATCTCTCAGTCTCCCTCTCTGTCTATCTATCTCTCAGTCTACCTATCTGTCTATCTATCTCTCAGTCTACCTATCTGTCTATCTATCTCTCAGTCTACCTATATGTCTATCTATCTCTCAGTCTACCTATATGTCTATCTATCTCTCAGTCTACCTATCTGTCTATCTATCTCTCAGTCTACCTATATGTCTATCTATCTCTCAGTCTACCTATCTGTCTATCTATCTCTCAGTCTACCTATATGTCTATCTATCTCTCAGTCTACCTATCTGTCTATCTATCTCTCAGTCTACCTATCTGTCTATCTATCTCTCAGTCTCCCTCTCTGTCTATCTATCTCTCAGTCTCCCTCTCTGTCTATCTATCTCTCAGTCTCCCTCTCTGTCTATCTATCTCTCAGTCTCCTCTCTGTCTATCTATCTCTCAGTCTACCTATCTGTCTATCTATCTCTCAGTCTCCCTCTCTGTCTATCTATCTCTCAGTCTCCTCTCTGTCTATCTATCTCTCAGTCTACCTCTCTGTCTATCTGTGTATCTCTCTTTTCTCTCTCTCTTTTCTCTCTCTCTTTTCTCTCTCTCTCTCTCTCTCTAAAGAAAAACATGAGAAAGATGATTATGATGAGATAATAATCAAAGCAATATCAATAACAATGATCATGAAAAAAACGATGGAAGAGATCGCATGTCACAAACCTGAAAATTAGCAAAAATCGAAGTTAAACCATAAACACACAAAACAAACACACACACACACACACACACACACACACACACACACACACACACACACACACACACACACACACACACACACACACACACACACACACACACACATGTATGTATGTGAGTATTTATGTATGTATGTATGTGAGTATTTATGTATGTATGTATGTATGTATGTATGTATGTATGTATAAAGGCTCTCTGATAAAATTCCGGTCCCGCTCCCGAGACAGCTCGATGATTCGATTGGACCTTGCAACGGCAGCAAAGAGGATCACGGCCGCTCTTGCAAGTTGCAAAGGTTTGGAATCTTCCGGGAGCAATAAGGGGCTTGGGCAGAACGTCGCGTCGCGGAGGATCGCACGCTCTTGGCCCGAGTCTGTTGTAATTGTTGTCGTTGTCGGGTTGTTATTGTTGTTGTCGGGTTGTTGTTGTTGTTGATGCACTAATACTACTACTACTGTTCTTTTTGTTGTTGTTATTCTTAATATTACTGTTCTTTTTGTTATTGTTGATATTTTTACTCTTATTTTTTTTCCTTTTTATTCGTAAGGGAATTGTTGGACTGACTACCTGGCGGGGGGGATCTGAGCGCCTTAGCATGCTTTCAGCCTTCTTACGCCTCTCCAAGGAGGATCGCGTGCTCTTATTTTTACCTCTTGCCTTTTTAGCGCCATCTTCCTGTCTACTTTTCCCTCCTCTCCTCTCTCCTGTCGTCTCCTCCCGTTCTCTCTTTCTGTCTTTCTGTCTTTCTTTTCTCTCTTTCTGTCTTTCCTCTCTTTCTTTTCTCTTTCTCTCTTTTCTCTCTCTCTCTCTCTTTCTCTCTCTCTTTTCTCTCTCTTTTCTCTCTCTTTCTCTCTCTCTTTTCTCTCTCTCTTTTCTCTCTCTCTCTTCTCCCTCTCTCTTCTCCCTCTCTATCTTTCTGACGGAGAAAATTGCTGATCATAGTGATTTCGTTGACTGATTTCGTCCGCGGATGATCAGAACTCTCGACTTTTGTTTTACGTGGCGTTCGATCCTAATCTGATAAGGTTACAGATTCGAGTTTGTTTTGTAAAGAGTTTGATCCTTTTTGATAGCAGTGTCAACCCTGTTTTGACAAAGGAATCGATAAAGCGGTGATTTTAGAGTAGAATTTAAAGCCTTCGATTTTGATTTGGTAAAAAGTTCGAGCTTTCATCTATTGAATGTCCTTGTATCAAAGAAAGCTTTGATAATTTTCTATGAGGGTATTCCGTCTGTAATATATTATCTGTTTTTCGTTTTATGATTTTTTTTTGTACTTCATTGCCTCTCATATTGCTCTTATTTCCACAATTCTCTCTTCTTTTATTTTTGTTATTAATTCATCTCTACTTCTATTCAATATCTTTCGTTCCGCTTATAAATAGACTCTGAATAGATAGATTTTGCGCACTTAAATATATATATTTTTTGGGCCGTATTCCCTTTGAAAGCGAAGAGTTTGCGCATCCAGTATGGGAAAATTTTGCGTCTCCGAGGAAAATGTATAAAATATACACGTATTTCACATAGTAAATAGGATTTTTTTTTTCATGTGAAAGTCTTATGACTCCAGGGCGTGGGTGTGCGTGGGTGACAAGTGGGGGGTGAGGGGGGGGGGCGAAAGGGGTGATTTGAGAGAGAGAGAGAGAGAGAGGGGGGGGAGGGAATTCGCTTATTTAAGAGGACCCCATCCCCCCATCCCCTCCCAACCCCCAACCCCCCACCGTGAGAAGGTGTGGCGTCGATATTCGCACGCGTTGTCTGTTCCTTCGTCAGGAGGCGGGCGGGTCGGGGCGGGGCCGGGGAGCGGGGGGGAGGGGAGAAGAGGGCTAGGAGGGAGTGATACATGAGGGAAGGGAGAGGGGGGGGAGAGGGGGAGGGGAGAAGAGGGCTAGGAGGGAGGGATACATGAGGGAAGGGGGAGGGGGGGAGAGGGTTTTTGTTTTTTGTTTTTGTGTTTTTTTGTTTTTATTTTTGTTTTTTGCCGGTAATGGGAGAAGTCTGCTGGTTTATGAATGTCGTTATCGCCAACTCGGGGTCATATTAGCGTTCATAGTTTCCTTTTCATTACCATCATCACCATCGTCATCATTATCATCACCATCATCACCATCATCACCATCATCACCATCATCACCATCACCGCCACCGCCACCGCCACCGCCACCGCCATCAACATCTGTCATTATCATCAACACCAACTTTTAAGCTATCGTTAAAAAAATTGACATTTTGTATCTTTTAATCTGGATGTAATTAAACTAACAAAATACAAACAGCCAATTAGATCATCGGGCAAAAACAGATGGCGCATTGTGTCATGCCAAACTTTTATTT